GAGCTGGAAGCATACTCTGGTTAAAACTCTGTGCTGGGCATCTTAGACTGGGCAGGACAAAGTAGGTTTCCCTGTGGATGCAAATGAGTCATTGCTGGGAAGAGCAGGGGCAGATGCTGTGAGAAGGCTATCAGTTTTTAGAAATAATCAAACCTTGCTGGTTCCATGTCAACATTAAGTGCTTTAGGTGTGGCCAGGTAGAATAATTGGTTTTTCCACTATAACTGCACTGTGCAACCCACACTGCTCCAAGAGGTCTTCACAGGCCCCAAATGTCATAAATATATGTGGCTGCACATGGGTTAATCTCACACACTGTTGGCATGAGAATGCAGGAAGAGCTAGTCCAAGTGTCCCTCAACCTTAGCAACTTTAAGATGTGTGGATTTCAACTCCCAGAACGGGCCAGCCAGCTATGCTAGCTGGGGAATTCTGAAAATTGAAGTCCACACATTTTTAAACTAGCTAAGGTTGACAAACACTCATCTACAGTAGCTGATTCTCTTGAACAACATGGAAAGTCCATTTTGGGTGCAATTTCTGTCTAAAGGCATCCCCCCCAAAACCACCTTAATCATCTGATTGGCCAGCCGTGGAGACCCAAGAAAGCAAGAAGGGATGCTGCATCCCTGAACTACAAGGGGGGGGAGGTAGACAGGAACAAACCAAATATGATCATTCAAGTCTGGTTAATGTTTAGTTTAATGAAATGCATTAAACTGAAAATCAGTTACAGCATCTCTGGTGAATTATAGAATTTAAGTATTGTAAGAAAAAGCTGGCTGAGGAATTCTGGGAGTTGAAGTCCACAAGTCTTAAAGTTGCCAAGGTTGGACACCCCTGATCTAGTCCAAGTAGTATGAATGTCAGGGCTCCAGCATCAACACTATTCAAATCATGAGTCTCTAGCCGCATCTCGGAGTTTTAAAAAAAAAACCCACCAAGATTTATTAGGAGTGAACATGCTGGTGCTACCTGGGTGCAGCCGACTCTGAGCCACATCATTCATTTCATCCTTGACCCTGGTCTTCCCTCCACCCCCTGGATGTATATTCTCCAATGGGACACATCCGTAGCCAAGAGTCATCAATCATGCTCTCCAGTAATAATCTTGTGCGCCAAAAGCTTCGGTTGCCTAGAAATTATCTAAGGAATGCACTACTTCCCCCACTCCCTTTCTGCTGGCAACTCTAAAATACCAGATAAATATTTGTGAGTTGACAATGAAAATTCATTTTTGAACCTCCTTGTCAGATAGTGGGGCGGTGTGATGGCACAGTGGTGAAGACACTGGGCTTGTCAGCTGGAAAGCTGGCAGCCCAGGTTCGAGACTCGAGCTCCACATGACTGGGTAAGCTGTCCTCACCCAGGCCTCTGCCTACCTAGCAGTTTGAAAGCATACAAATGCGAGTAGATAAATAGATACCACTTCAGTGGGAAAATGACAGCACTCTATGACATCATGCTGGCCACATGACCACAGAAATTTCTCCGGACAGCACTGGCTCAATTGCATTGAAACAGAGATAGCTAACACTTTCTATGTTCGGCAATGACAAACAAAGTAAAATCCGCGGGGACTTACTTTGTCAGATAGTGGATTGTATCTATGAAAGGGGAGTGGTGTGATGGACTAGAACAGGGGTACCAAACTCAAGGCCTGGGGGCCAGATTAAGCCTGCAGGATACTTAGATCTGGCCCATGGGGCTGCCCTAGAAACAGCGAAGGACTGGCCCACGGTGCTTCTGCCAGCAAAAGCGGGCTCCCAAACTCCGTTTTCGGCTGCCACAGCCTCCTGCAACTCTTTGCCAGTGAAAACGGAGCTTGGGAGGGCCGCTTGCAGGAGACTGGCAGCCAAAAACGGAGCTCGGGAGCCCATTTTCACTGGCAAAGCACTTGGGCCAATACAGGCGCCCCCCAACATGAGTGCTGTCGAGATGGCCACGCCCACCCTGACCCCCTGAGGTCAAACACAACCCTGAATGAAATCAAGTTTGACACTCCTGGATTAGAGTAATGCAGCAGGTTCTTAGGAAGGGGACAACACCTACCAGGGACAGGCAGGAAAATAAGAGGCAGCACATCCTAGAACTGTGTGAAAGAGAAAGCGATTTAGGATAGCTTCTCCAAGTGTATATCCATCAGGATTAGACTAGTATAGCCAGTTTAGTCTGGCAAAGATTCTGTCTGTATGGTGAAAACAAATACAGGTGGTTCTTGAATTAGCAAATAGTTCATTTAATGACTGTTCAAAGTTACAGCGGCAGTGACCGTTTTTCACATTTACGACCATTGCATCATCCCCATGGTCATGGGATCAAATTCAGGCGCTTGGCAACTGACTCATGTTTATGACGGTTGCAGTGTCCCGGGATCATTTGATCCCCTTTTGCAATCTCCTGACAAGCAATGTCAGTGGAGAAACCAGATTCATGTAACAACCATGTTTACTTACTTAACAACTGAAAGTGATTCAGTTAACAACTGCAGCAAGAAATGTCGTAAAAGGGGGCAAAACTCGCTCAACAAATGTTTCGCTTAGCAGCAGAAATTTTGGGCTCAGTTGTGACTGTAAGTGAAGGACTACCTGGAATGAGTTGAACTTGGGTTAGATTACGACATTCTTTGGCCGAGCCTAATTAATGACCATCCTTAATATGTCTCTTTCGACATCCCCATCTGAGGAGTATCGCCGCCTTCCAAGGTGATGTCAGAAAATTATTCTCGGTGTCCGCTCTGGTTAAATCTGCTGTTCCTTATCCTGTTTTCTGGAATCGTTCTGAACAATTCTGCCTTGTCTTTTAATGACAGGCCTTCACATATTTGAAAAGAGATACCCTGTCTCTTAGCAAACTTCCCATCTCCAGGCTAAGCACATCCAGTACATCCAACATTGTACATTTTTGGCTCCCGGCTCCTGATCCTCTTAAATGTTCTCCTTTATGCATGCTCAGGTTGAAGTCCTGCCAAAATGCAGTGCCCATAATTGGATGCAATTGCATAGGGGCAGCCTAACCAGCACAGAAAATGGAGAAATTGTGGGTTATATTGATCTGTAAGGGATTACAGGGTTGTAGAAAGGATTTAATACTATCTCATCATTAACTCTAGTCCCAGCTCATGCATCTGTCTGGAATCCTTTGATTGGCCCCTGTTGGAGATGTCTTGGAATTGGAAATGCCTTTATTCTAAACTACCAAGGCTGGTGTATGCAGTGAATATTTGGCTAAGCAGGAAGATGGGAATAGATAAGTTGCTATTGGCAATCCTCAGAATATATATATAGGAGTTTTGAGTTTTAATTATGGAGATAAAATTGACAAAGGCTACCTAAAGCTAAGGGAACTTTCAAAGTGGCAGTTTATGTGGGTATGTGTGAGGAAGGGAGAGAGAGAGATGAAAAAAATACAGGAATTCCATACTCATCTTGCTGAATTCTAGGCAATCTGACTATTAACTAATCTACCACAGTGCTCATATGAATCTGGGGACCTATTGCATAGCTGTATTCATACCTCATACTTAACTTATTTATTAAATACAACTGGTTTTACACAATACCTCAAGGGCAAACCAGATCTGTACAAAATATTAACCCAGAAAAATACACCAATCTTTGCATACTCACTTAATCATTCTTTGACATGATTACATGAATCTAAATACTATCTTGCAGGATTCACCTTCAAGGAATGGCATCTTGTGTCCACTTAAACTAAGAGTCAATCCCATTGAAGTCGATGAATCTTTCTTTCAGGAAATGCTGTTGAGAGCATAAATCAGAATTAGGTAGGATTCCTGTCTTCTGCCCTGAAACATTATGAGGTTGGATCATTTTGCAATCCTCCCCTCCTTTGCCCTAAGCCCACGTGATCCAAATTTCTGCCTATGAATCTCCTTCTTCAGTATTATTTTTGTGATCTCCAGGTGCTTTAATGCAATCCATTTTTAGGAAACATATGACACTAAGAAGGCTTAGAAGCAAAAAGAAAAAGAAAGAAGGGAAGGATGTATCAGCTGCATGATGAATTAATCATCCCTTTAGTCACAGATGTCAGGAATTGGCTAAGGTCGTTGGAGGCATCTCTTCCAAGTTGCTTAGAGTTCCAGGGCCCAACCTCTAGAATTATTTTAGATGAGGACAGAATGAGTGCCAAGTGGTTCACCTTTTGTGTTTCTATTTCAAAGCAGGGTCACCTTTATTTACCAGAAGATTTCAGCTTCATAAGTCATCTCAAAATGGAGACTGACTGCTGCCCAATCCTTTATCAGGAAGTGAGCCCATCTGCCCAGGAAGAAGGGAGGGAGGGAAGCTAAGAATGGTGTAGGGTAGGAATGTCCAACCTTAGCAACTTGTGGACTCCCAGAATTCCATCTACTTGGACTTCGGAAGTATAAAACCGATGCAGCAGTTGACTTCCATGATAACATCCATACGTACCTGGGCAATATTGGGCAGCTGAAGACCATCTCAAGATTGCAGACATTCAGAAACCTTTAGATCAGCATTTCTCAATTTTAGCAGCTTTAAGATGTGTGGATGTCAGCTCCCAGAACCCAATTCTGGGAGCTGACATCCACCGATCTTAAAGTTGCTGAGTTTGAGAAGCCAATAAGCTCAGGGTTGAAATGAATGGCCCTTGGTGATCGCTGAACGTGGCTGTTTTCTTGTAGACATTTCATGCTAGCACTGATGAGGTTACCTAGTTTGGATAATGAAATGTCTGCAAGAAAACAGCCAAGCTCAGGGAGCACCAAGAACCCCTCAAACACTGCTTTAGAGGACAAAACAGAGGCAGATGTAACTCTTCATACAGCTCTGGAAGGAGGGATTAGCGTCCACACACTATCCTATAAAAAGAACATGTCTGGATCTTGCTCCTACCATCAGTTTTGGGTTGAGAATTTGCCTGACTGTGCTCCAGAAAGCTTACAAATGCTACCTTACCATAATGTCTACCATGGTGGTTTCACTTTCTCTCCATCCTCTTTCTATTAGGAAACTTCTCAAAGATTGTTGCGATCCGAGCCATCTCTTTGCAATGACGAAACAGAATTCGCCAGTGGGAAAGAGAATCTGGTATGATGGCGAACTTCTGTACTTCTGGACAATTGACAACGAAACCTTCTCACTGTTTCCAAAGGTTAGTGATTTGGATGTATTCTTGTTGTAGAAGGCCAGTTTGCTTTTCCCAATATGCTCTGTGTACATGTAATGATAGCTTGCTGAACACATTACCATTGTCAGGACTGCACATCATGGCTTATTTAAGTTGTTGAGTATTAAGATTAGATTAGATAACAGAGTTGGATGGGACTTTGTAGGTCTTCTAGTCCAACTCCACACCCAAGCAGGAGACCCTACCCCATTTCTGACAGATGGCAGTCCAATCTCTTCTTGAAAGCCTCCAGTGATGAAGCTCCCCCAACTTCTAAAGGCAACTTCTATTCCATTGGTTGATTGTTCTCACTGTCAGAAAATGTCTCCTTATTTCCAGGTTGAATCTCTCCTTGATCAGTTTCCATCCATTATTCCTAGTCTGGCCTTCAGACTGCCTCTGCCAGCGAAAACATAGCTCCGTTTTTGCTGGCAGAGGGTTGCAGGAGGCCATCACAGCAGAAAACTGAGCTCGGGAGCCTGTTTTCGCTGGCAGAACGCTCGGGCCACCACAGGCACTCCCCGACACGAGTGACGTCAATCTGGCCATGCCTACCCCAGCCTCCCGAAGTAAAACACAACCCTGATATGGCCCTCAGTGAAATCAAGTTTGACACCCCTGCCGTAGATGCTTGGTAGAATAAAAGTTATCAAAGCATGAAAACATCAAGTAAGTCGACAAGTGACCGTTTACTAAATACAACAAGATGGGAGAATGATGGTATATATTTCTGCATATAGCAAGCATGCACATAAAGAAAGCACACAAACACACACACACACACACAGTGGTGGGCTACTGGGGGTTCGCGAGGGTTCGGGAGAGCCCCTAGCTAAGATTCTGTGCAGTTCGGAGAACCCCCCAAATCCCACTCCTGGCTGGCCCCGCCCAGCCCGCCCTGCCCCTCCCAGGAATCCTCAGGTGGCCCATTTTGGAAGCAGGTAAGTGCAGGGCCCACATGGAAGCTCAAAGAGGGTGAAAAACGGGCCTCTCAGAAGTTCGGGAAGCCAGAAATGGGCCAGTTTTCTGGCTTCTAGAGAGCCTCCGGAGCCCGGGAAAGCCATTTTCACCCTCACCTTTCAGGCTCAAAGAAAGCCTCTGGAGCCCGTGGAGGGCAAAAATCCCCCCTCCCTGCCGTGGTGCAGGAGGATGACTAGGCCCACGCCCATCATGGCCACACCCACCCAGCAACCGGGCAAGAGAACTCCTTGCTAAAAATTTTGAAGCCCACCCAACACACACCCCTTCCACCCTCCATCTTTTGTTCCCAATGAGTAACTGATCACACCGTTTTGCACATTCAGCTGACTGTGGGATAATCATGCATAGTAGAAGGACACTTTGAAGGACTATGCCACGTAGTGATTAATAGTGAGTGATTCATGACTGTGTTCTCACAAGATCAGCACAATACTGTTTCAGAATCCTGAGTGCTGTTGTGGTTATTTTCCTTAAGTGCTATGGGTATAAAAATAACCTGGTTATGGGGCCATGAGCAATTGCTAATTTCAGTTTGGAGAAGTCTAAAATTTTGTCAGCCCCCTGGTGTAGACCAAACCAAGAAGTCCACTACACCTGGAGGCTAAAATGCTGTTAATATTGAATCTATCATTTATCACGAGCACTTAGACTTATACAGCACTTTATAGTGCTTTACATTTTACCGACCTTGGAAGGATGGAAGGCTGAGTCAACTTTGAGCTGGTGAGATTCAAACTGCTGGCAGTTGGAAGAATTTGCCTGCAATTCTGTATTCCAACCACTGTGCCGCCACAACTATAATAACAACTATCCAGTCTAATTGTGCTTTACCCCCTCCTCTTACCCCACTTATGCTCATGTGAATTAGGGAGTTGTCTGCCTGACCATTTCCACATGCCTTTCTTTTGTTTTGGACTTAAACTGTATGTTTCCTGTTATCACCTTAATAACTGATCTAGCTTGTCTCTTGTCAAGGCCATCTTCCTTACTCTGTACACATTCCATGGTTGAGTTCCTTTCTTTCATGCTGTTCTTATTACTGCTGTTTAGTCCTGTTTCCTCTTGTTGTGACACAATTGGCCAGAAAAGGGGAGAGTAAAAAGGACATTTCTTTGCCAGTTCGGCTTAAGGTGTGTGTGTGGACACAAGTAGACAACAAAAAACATTCTTATACTTAGAGAAATATATATATTTGTAGTGTCCTTAACAAATGGGAGGCTAGTGGTTTGTTTGTAAATGAGCCTTACGGGTGAAACTCAAAAAATTAGACTATCGTGCAAAAGTTCATTTATTTCAGTAATGCAACTTAAAAGGTGAAACTAAGATATGAGATAGACCCACTACATGCAAAGCAAGATAGTTCAAGCCGTGATGTGTCATAATTGATATAATGATGGCTTACAACTCATGAAAACTCCAAATCCACAATCTCAGAAAATTAGAATATTGTGAAAAGGTTCAATATTCTAGGCTCAAAGTGTCCCACTCTAATCAGCTAATTAAGCCAGAACACCTGCAAAGGGTCCCTGAGCCTTTAAATGGTCTCTTAATCTGGTTCAGTAGGAATCACAATCATGGGAAAGACTGCTGACCTGACAGTTGTGCAGAAAACCATCATTGACACCCTCCACAAGGAGGGAAAGCCTCAAAAGGTAATTGCAAAAGAAATTGGATGTTCCCAAAGTGCTGTATCAAAGCACATTAATAGAAAGTTATGTGGAAGGGAAAAGTATGGAAGAAAAAGATGCACAAGCAGCAGGGATGACCGCAGCTTGGAGAGGAATGTCAGGAAATGTCAGGAAGAGGCCATTAAAAAGTGTTGGGGACTTCCACAAGGAGTGGACTGAGGCTGGAGTCAGTGCATCAAGAGCCACCACACACAGACTGATTCTGGAAATGGGCTTCAAATGTCGTATTCCTCTTATCAAGCCGCTCCTGAACAACAAACAATGTCAGAAGTGTCTGACATTCTGGGCTAAAGAAAAACAGAACTGGTCTGTTGCTCAGTGGTCCAAAGACCTCTTTTCGATGAGAGCAACTTTTGCATCTCATTTGGAAACCAAGGACCCAGAGTCTGGAGGAAGAATGGAGAGGCACACACTGCAAGATGCTTGAAGTCCAGTCTGAAGTTTCCACAGCTTCATTAAGTCCAGGGTCAATGCAGCCGTCTACCAGGAGATTTTGGAGCACTTCATGCTTCCTTCTGCAGACGAGCTTTATGGGGATGTTGACTTCATTTTCCAGCAGGACTTGGCACCTGCCCACCAAAAACTGGTTCAATGACCGTGGGATTACTGTGCTTCATTGGCCAGCAAACTCGCCTGACCTGAACCCCATAGAGAATCTATGGGGCATTGCCAAGAGAAAGATGAGAGACATGAGACCGAACAATGCGGAAGAGCTGAAGGCCGCTATTGAAGCATCCTGGTCTTCCATAACACCTCAACAGTGCCACAGGCTGATAGCTTCCATGCCACACCTCATTGAGGCAGTAATCTCTGCAAAAGATATTATAATTTTCTGAGATTGTGGATTTGGGGTTTTCATGAGCTGTAAGCCATAATCATCTCAATTATGACAAATCATGGCTTGAACTATCTTGCTTTGCATGTAATGAGTCTATCTCATATGTTTCACCTTTTAAGTTGCATTACTGAAATAAATGAACTTTTGCATGATATTCTAATTTTTCGAGTTTCACCTGTATATGGCTACCGATCTTATGTGTCCTAACTTTGGGTGATACACAGCAGCAGAGATAAGAACATAAACAATAGTAATATTTGGATAAGTAAACAGCCCCCAAAACCTTAAAGCAACACTCCTAATATATTAAAAACATTACAATCACTAGACTCCAACCTCATTGTTTCCCAAAACCTGGGAGAAAAGTAGCTCATTTATTTATTTATTCTATTTATTTATTCAGAGCTGCCCATTTCACATTCATCTCAACTCCACTCTATGAATGTGATGTCCCAGGGCGTGGCACAAAGGCAGCACAGTCAGATAATCAGTAGGAGTCCCTTTATTTATTTTATTTATTTATTT